TGGGGCTGGGGGCTCCTCCAGCCCCACTGCTGACGGTTCCCCCCCGGCTCTGCAGGGTCCGGACAAGGCTCGCTCCCAGCTCCTCATCCTGGACCGCGGCTTTGATCCTGCTTCCCCAGTGCTGCACGAGCTGACCTTCCAGGCGATGAGCTACGACCTGCTGCCCATCGAGAACGACGTCTACAAGTGAGTGCGGTACTGCCATCCCCACAACCCCCCTTGTTCCCCACGAGTCCAGCACTTGAGCGGGAGTTGGAAGCTCAGCCATGAAGTCTGAGCCCTCAGCATCATCCCTCCATCCTTCACGAGTCATCGGTTGGGAGAAACCGTCCCAGGCCGCAGGCTGGCAGGAGCGATGGGCAGAATTGATGCAAAAGGGGTTTTTCTAACCTTCAACCCTTGCTCCTTCCCAACAGTTAGCAGTTAAAGGGGTACGAGAAGGCGAGATGTGAAACTGAGTTGAAATAACTTCACCCCACTGCTGGCAGAGCCAAGAAGAGCCCCCACGTCCCCCCATGTCCCTAGAGCCCAGGCAGCGAGGGGACAATGTGCCTCCCCAGCCCTGTCCCCACCGTCACGCTCCCTGCCCTCTTCCCAGGTACGAGACGAGCGGTATCGGGGAAGCCCGGATTAAGGAGGTTCTCCTGGACGAGGACGACGACCTGTGGGTCACTTTGCGCCACAAACACATCGCCGAGGTGTCCCAGTGAGTGTCCCTGCGGGCGGTTTGCCAGCTGGGTGGGACATCAGCTTGGAACTGCCACCCACCCCACTGTCAGGGTCCCCTCCCCGCTGACGGCTGTGCCCTCCTCCTCTTCCCAGGGAGGTGACCCGATCCCTGAAGGAGTTTTCTTCAAGCAAGAGGATGAACACAGGCGATAAGGTGACCTGACTGCCCCTGCTGAGCTGGGGATGGGCACCCGGGGGGGCTCAGCCGTGGGCTGGCAGATGGCAGAGTCTCCTGGGGACACCCGATGGGGACCTCTGCAAGGAGCCAAGGGTGTTCAGGTCCCTGACGGGGGGCGATATCTGTGGGGTGCTGGCCCGATGCCTGGGGCTGGGGAAGCAGGGTGCCTCGGGAGAGCACCGCACCATGAGGGTCACTTTGCCCCCCCCACCCCCAGGCAGGGCCCCATCCTGCTCATCCAGTGCCCTCGCTGAAGAGGGGACAGAGACCAGCGCCACTGCGCGTCCCTTATTTTCATTCATTGTCTCTGCGCTGAAATAGGCTGGGAGAGAGCGCACACACACACACACACACA